AACAGGTGTCGCCCAGTTTGAGCTTCAAAGTGACTGTAATGAGAAACAAACTCTTTTGGTCTGGTTTATTTTATTTATAAGTTTAAAATGTGTAAACCTTAGAAGCGTTTCACACTTTTTCGCTCTACTTTCTTGTTCTGCAGGTTGTTGGTTGCACACAAGCTGGCTGTCCGTGTGAGTGTTTCCTGCCAGGACAAACTCAGATCAGGTCATGTGATCGCTGTGCACATGGCTGGGTCCTTCACGGTATGAATCACACATGTGAGTGTGTGTGTGTGTGTGTGTCTGTGTGTGTATGTGTGTGTTTGCCTGAAGACTGGATTCCCGTCACCAGTGACTCTGTCATGTGTATTGTGTGTGTGTGTGCAGCGGTGGGTAAGGTGTGCGCTCCGGCTCTGCTGTGTTCGGGGCAGGTGGAGATCGTCCAGAGTAGCGTGGTGTTTGACATCAGCAGTCTGATTCTGTACGGGACGCAGGCGCTTCCCGTCCGGATGAAGATCCTGCTGGATCGTCTGTTCAGCGTACTCACACACACACAGGTGCTCAACATCATACACACTCTCGGATGGACACTGCGCGACTACGTGAGAGGATACATGCTGCAGGTGAACACACACGCAAAACACACATACTTACAGGTGCTCAACACCACACACACACTCCGATGGACGCTGTGCGTTTGTGCTGCAGGTAAACACACACTTGCACACTCACACACACACACGATCAGCACATTTGAGATCTGTGTCTCTGTGCAGTTTTAGCCCAGAGCTCGTCCCCTCCCGAGTGTTTCTGAGTTGTTTTGGAATTTCTGTCTCTTCAAGACAAAGGAACGCTCTCGTCCAATCAAACGCAGCCGCTCTGCTGTTCTCATTAGAAGTGGGCGGAGTCTGGCGGTTTGGAGAGAGAGTGATAGTGATTAGGGCTCTTTATATTTCCTCGGGCCCCAAGGATCCCATCAGAACTTCATCAGGAGACTCCAGATACGGACTAAACCCGGGAAAGTCTGAAGATATGGGGACATGGACACACACACTCCTCCAGGAGGTATCGCACATGTGCATACTTTTAATTTTTGAGAAATATGTTCTCTAAATATTCCTGTTTATTGAAAGTCTTCGTGAGATTTATGAGTCATTTCAGCAGAAAACATGATGACCGGCTGAAAAACACTTCACTTCGAACTATTAGAACGTTTGTTTCTAATGTAGTTCTTTCTCGGTTCAATTAATTTTATCGTCATGCATTGGAGAGCGAGAACATTTTTGTCTGATTTTTCTCCTGCGTTGTTCATTAGTATGTTGACGCTGATTGTTCGGCATCTGCGTGTTTGACAGACGGACAGTGACGAGTCTCTTCTGAAGCGAGATGAGCAGACTCTGAAGATGAAGGAGGAGGCACAGGTGGACAATTCTATCATTAATTCACTAAAATCAATAAACAGCATCATCAACTTTATAAATAAGGTGTAAAATTGACCTGAAATATACTTGTGCTCTAAATGACATTTTTACTGTGTTTTCAGATTGTTCTATTTTGAAGGTCAGCGTGACTATATTTAATTAGTGAAATAAATTGAATTTTAAAATCCTTAAAAATTTCATATACATTTCAGTGTGAAACTGTAACTCTGGTCATCCTTCACAACAGTTTTTAACCTGAAGCAATTCATTCAATCATAACCATAAACGCACATACTTCACTGTGAACACAGTCCAATAAACTTTAAAATTAAAAAGTAATTATTTAGAAAAATGTATTTAAAAAAATTTTTACATACCAAATTGCAATTTTATTCTGCTTTTTTATTTTTTTATACATTTTATAATTATATTAAAATTTGTTATTTATCATTTATTTATTGTTATAATTTGATTTATTTTAATTCAATTTTTTAAATTTTATTTAAAGCATACATTTATTATTGTTTTCTTAAATATCAGATTCAGATTAAACATGTGTCGCCCAGTTTGAGCTTCAAAGTGACTGTAATGAGAAACAAACTCTTTTGGTCTGGTTTATTTTATTTATAAGTTTAAAATGTGTAAACCTTAGAAGCGTTTCACACTTTTTCGCTCTACTTTCTTGTTCTGCAGGTTGTTGGTTGCACACAAGCTGGCTGTCCGTGTGAGTGTTTCCTGCCAGGACAAACTCAGATCAGGTCATGTGATCGCTGTGCACATGGCTGGGTCCTTCACGGTATGAATCACACATGTGAGTGTGTGTGTGTGTGTGTGTCTGTGTGTGTATGTGTGTGTTTGCCTGAAGACTGGATTCCCGTCACCAGTGACTCTGTCGTGTGTATTGTGTGTGTGTGTGCAGCGGTGGGTAAGGTGTGCGCTCCGGCTCTGCTGTGTTCGGGGCAGGTGGAGATCGTCCAGAGTAGCGTGGTGTTTGACATCAGCAGCCTGATTCTGTACGGGACGCCGGCTCTTCCCGTCCAGATGAAGATCCTGCTGATCCTCCTCACACACACACAGGTGCTCAACATCATACACACACTCGGCTGGGCACTGCGCGATTACGTGAGAGGATACATGCTGCAGGTAAACACACACACACACACACACACACACACACACACACACACACATATATATATATAT